CCCCCCCCCCCCCCCCAGTGAGGTCCCTAAGAACTACCTGCAGTTGGTGGTCAATCTGCATGTAATTATGTATCAATGTGAGAAAATGATGTTAAGTTGTTAACATTTCTGAATTTGACCATCATCGGCATGCCCGTAACTAGCTATGAGTCAACCGAGTCAGTTGACTCGGTAGGCCAGAATTTGGGGACAGAAATTTAAACATCGCTAGGAACCTAAATCATGCATGACTGAAATAATTTGCCCGTGGAACAAGGCATGAAATGGCAGTTTAGGATGAAATTATTGTTTAGTTTGACCATCATCGGCATGCCCGTAACTAGCTATGAGTCAACCGAGTCAGTTGACTCGGTAGGCCAGAATTTGGGGACAGAAATTTAAACATCGCTAGGAACCTAAATCATGCATGACTGAAATAATTTGCCCGTGGAACAAGGCATGAAATGGCAGTTTAGGATGAAATTATTGTTTAGTTTGACCATCATCGGCATGCCCGTAACTAGCTATGAGTCAACCGAGTCAGTTGACTCGGTAGGCCAGAATTTGGGGACAGAAATTTAAACATCGCTAGGAACCTAAATCATGCATGACTGAAATAATTTGCCCGTGGAACAAGGCATGAAATGGCAGTTTAGGATGAAATTATTGTTTAGTTTGACCATCATCGGCATGCCCGTAACTAGCTATGAGTCAACCGAGTCAGTTGACTCGGTAGGCCAGAATTTGGGGACAGAAATTTAAACATCGCTAGGAACCTAAATCATGCATGACTGAAATAATTTGCCCGTGGAACAAGGCATGAAATGGCAGTTTAGGATGAAATTATTGTTTAGTTTGACCATCATCGGCATGCCCGTAACTAGCTATGAGTCAACCGAGTCAGTTGACTCGGTAGGCCAGAATTTGGGGACAGAAATTTAAACATCGCTAGGAACCTAAATCATGCATGACTGAAATAATTTGCCCGTGGAACAAGGCATGAAATGGCAGTTTAGGATGAAATTATTGTTTAGTTTGACCATCATCGGCATGCCCGTAACTAGCTATGAGTCAACCGAGTCAGTTGACTCGGTAGGCCAGAATTTGGGGACAGAAATTTAAACATCGCTAGGAACCTAAATCATGCATGACTGAAATAATTTGCCCGTGGAACAAGGCATGAAATGGCAGTTTAGGATGAAATTATTGTTTAGTTTTTCCAAGGAAAGATACTCCAAATAAGAGACCACCCTATCTTGCTCTTCAGGACACTGAGTACATGCAATACAGTACTGTAGAATTTGAAGTATGGTGAATAATAATGCTATACCACGCACATTTTCACTACTGCATCATCACACCATTCATATACATTTGGGAGACTATGAAATTGCAGTAATTGTGTCATTGTTTATAAGGTTAATTTCTTGTTGAAAAACTCATCAAAATGCTGGAAATAGCTTATCTGAGCTTCAAGAAATCCAAAATGTTCTGGGGTCATGCCCCCAGACCCCTGTAGAGGCTCGCACCTTCGGTGGTCGACTCGGTTGTCTCAGAATCCTAGTTACGGCCTGATAGGCTGCCCTATGACGTATACTTATTAGTTAAACCATGCATGCATATATATGCTGGTATAGCTGCAGTGACACAGACTTGCCGACTGGAACTTCTTGAGGTCCCCCGCTAAATATGTCCCATCCAGTTACACATCCTTAAGGTTACAGGACACCCTTTTTGGCGTTTTGCGGAAAATCGCTACTGCGCGCTCAATATCAGTCCGATTTTCATCAAATTTTCACCAAATGTTCTCCAGTGCATGCAAAATATGGTAAAGTTGTAAAATTAACAAACAATAACATAATGTACGAATTATTCAGGAAAATCTTAAATCGCGGTACCGTTACGCTTTTGAGTTGTGCTCCTGCTGGTTTTAAGTTATATTTATGAAAATATCATTTTTATACAGTAAAATAGTTGTTCTAAAAAATTGTGTCCGGAAATTTTTGTTTATTTCGTCATTCCGCTGATATGGCGATTTCTTTGACGACTGCAATATATTTCTGAATCGTTTGAGTGAATTGCTCTTTATTTTTAAAATATCCAAAATTTAAAAAAAGCCGAACACAATTTTGAAGCTGACGTATTTAGCTATGTCCTGTGAAAATTTGAGAAAAATTGGTTAAAACCCGCAGGAGCACAACTCGTTTGAAAATCAGTAATCACCGTAAAATTTTTCGGGAGAAAATTGAATTTGAATATTACATTTTCAATGTTTTTCTTATTGCAGCGAAATGTATTTTATTAAATAACTCTGCGAGTTTTCAACATTTTTCGTTCAAACTTGGTCAGATAGTAGAACTAGTCTAATGCTTTCAACGAAACCAATAAAAAAATTTTAGGCAAAATTAACACTCAAAGGTGTTCTGTAACCTTAAAAGAGGCCCTGATAGGTCACGCAGTTTCTGGTCCACTATAGGACGATCGTACTTGTTATAACTAAAGTGGTAACCTTGCGCGACGCGCACACCTGACTTGCGATGCCTTCAATATTTCTATTTTGTTAATGGGCTTCTACAGTATAGTGCAACAATATGTTCTCATTTTCCAGGAAGTTTTATCCTTGCATACTGCAACTCTCGAAGCCCGTACGCTTCAATTGTATTCTTCATTTCTTCGCTACCTACACTGGCACCCGACACTCAAGCTCATATTTTTAACTAATAATCAATCAAAATATTTGCATGTTTCACCGTTTCAATTTAGAATGAAGGTGGATTTGAAATTAATCACTATCCTTCTATCAGTTGTGGTACTTCATGTAGTATTTACTGAAGGTTGGGGAGTGAGAATTCCCAATCCTGTCCGTGTTGTCAGACGCGTAGTAAGAAAAACTGGGGAAGGAATTAGGACTGCAGTCCGGAAAACTGGGGCAGGAATCAGGACTGCAGTCCGGAAGACCGGGGAAGGTATTAAGACTGGAATCCGGAAGACTGGCCAAGGAATTAAGACTGGAATCAGAAAAACTGGGGAAGGTTTAAAAAAGGCAGGGGAAGGATTAAAGAAAGCAGGACAAGTGACAGGAAAACATCTTTATAAAGGATTGAGAGAAACTGGAAAGGCTTTTATTACAGCCTCAAGCGTTGTCTCTGATATATTGGACAGAGTGAGTATAATTTAAAATGTAAATTAACCAGAGTAAAGTGTTAATCAAACTCGATATTTGTTTAATTAAGAAAAGCTGGAACAACATCTTCAAGTGTTGTTTCCGATATGATGGAATAAATATCTTACAGTGCTGGCGTGTCACTAGCCTGTGTCACAGACCTTATAACAGGCACTTGTGTCACCTAGCTGGTAAATAAATTATTTAAGTTTGGAATTATTCACTCCGACTGCATAGGTTTGGATATTACTATGACCATGACCATGACCATGACCATGACCATGATCATGATCATTACCATGACCATGACCATGATCATTACCATGACCATTACCATGACCATGACCATTACCATTGCCATGACCATGACCATGACCATGACCATGACCATGACCATGACCATGACCATGACCATGATCATGACCACGATCATGACCATGACCATGACCATGATCATTACCATGACCATGACCATGATCATTACCATTACCATGATCATTACCATTACCATGATCATTACCATTACCATTATCAAGCTGAAGCCAGCTGCGTTGTTATTCACTATAAATATATAAATAAGCCAAAAGGTTTCCAACCTAATGCATACAATGCTGCCTCCCAAACTAGTTTTTATCACTCTGATGCATCTAAGCTCCAACGTACTGATAGTATTTACAAATGTTCCTTGAGGTCTCAAGTTTTCGAATTCGCTCTAGCTTTGTAATAGTGCTTCATGGTCTTCTTTTCAAATATGCTCACAAACATGCAGTCATGTTATTCACTATAAATATATAAATAAGCCAAAAGGTTTCCAACCTAATGCATACAATGCTGCCTCCCAAACTAGTTTTTATCACTCTGATGCATCTAAGCTCCAACGTACTGATAGTATTTACAAATGTTCCTTGAGGTCTCAAGTTTTCGAATTCGCTCTAGCTTTGTAATAGTGCTTCATGGTCTTCTTTTCAAATATGCTCACAAACATGCAGTCATGTTATTCACTATAAATATATAAATAAGCCAAAAGGTTTCCAACCTAATGCATACAATGCTGCCTCCCAAACTAGTTTTTATCACTCTGATGCATCTAAGCTCCAACGTACTGATAGTATTTACAAATGTTCCTTGAGGTCTCAAGTTTTCGAATTCGCTCTAGCTTTGTAATAGTGCTTCATGGTCTTCTTTTCAAATATGCTCACAAACATGCAGTCATGTTATTCACTATAAATATATAAATAAGCCAAAAGGTTTCCAACCTAATGCATACAATGCTGCCTCCCAAACTAGTTTTTATCACTCTGATGCATCTAAGCTCCAACGTACTGATAGTATTTACAAATGTTCCTTGAGGTCTCAAGTTTTCGAATTCGCTCTAGCTTTGTAATAGTGCTTCATGGTCTTCTTTTCAAATATGCTCACAAACATGCAGTCATGT